ATATTATCAGGCAGATAAACTTTATTGCTAAACAGCTCATGTTGTTGCTTTTTGTGTTTAAAATTGTGACTCTGTCAGGATTTACTAGTTTCCAATTTTGGGGAGCTGAACCTCTTTAACCCCCAGCCCTTCAAAAGTCATTTCCACCTGGACTGTTTGTGTCCTTAACATCTTATAAAGAGTGTACAGGCCTGGCAACCACCTGGACATCAATCTGAAACATCAGATTTCTCTCAGTATTTTTATATATCTTACTCAGTACACACACTAGGAAGAAATATCCACCCCCACCCCCCAAAAACAAATTCCAAAAAACAGTAACAGTTCATTTTTTCAAATGTTATTTTTTCAAGTTGTAGTACATGTAGATACCCATTATTTCCAGGCCATGTCCAGTATATCTGCTACTTCATTATTAGTAGAATTGAGCTACAGTCTTTCTATGCTGGAGTAAAAAAATAAAAACTGAGAACTAATAATCACCTTGTTTTTCACTATATTGTCTGGCAGACAAACGAAGAAGAGCATGAATTCAGTATTAAGTATTAAGAGTTTATACTTAAGTATGAGGTTGTTCAGTTTCTTACAGTATACAGGTCGTTGTGGTGGGTTGTGAAGTGTTTGAAAGCGAGTGGTCGGGCTGTAGTTTCTCTTGCAGTCCGGGCGGTCCTGTGTTTATTAATAATGTCGTTTAAAATCATAAAATGTCATCGCTATGAAAACAAATGTTTAATGTTTGTATTTAGACGATATTGGGGATCACTTTCATGTGTAATACTTAGTGAAACAATGACAGAAGATGTCGTTTCTCTGGAAGGGAAGAGAAGTAATTAATAATTGACTTGTTTTTCTTGGGAGTCAAAGACATTTCACAGTATAATGGAGTTGAATTGGAATGCAATCAGCAGGAGCCTGTTGTGATGTTTGCTGTTTTATTCCCTAGCTGCTGTGACTCTGGACCCTGATACAGCTCACTGTGGGCTCAGCCTGTCTGAGGATGGGAAGAGAGTAAGACTGGGAGAGAGGAAGAGTCTCTCTGACAATCCTCACAGATTTGATCTCTGGCCCTGTGTCGTGAGCAGGGAGGCCTTCACCTCAGGGAGACACTACTGGGAGGTGGAGGTGAATCGATACTGGAGAATAGGAGTGACCAGAGAGTCTGCAGAGAGGAAAGGGGGGTTCATGTTCTCTCCCCAGCATGGTTATTGGTGTCTGAAGTCTTATTGGTCTGATTTCTTTGCTCTCACTGACCCTCGGACCCGTCTCCCCCTCAGTCTGCGGCCCAGGAAGCTGGGGGTGTGTGTGGATATTGAGGAGAGGAAGGTCTCCTTTTACACAGTGGAGTCCAGAGCTCAT